AAGGCCAGCGCCACCCCTGCAACCGGCTTGGCTGTGGAGAGATGCAAATCCTCTTCGGAAAGCAAAGTCTTCCTGCCCTGCGTCGGGCACGTTGAGGCACGGGCCATTGAGATGAACACTCTTTACATCGCAGCCCATTGAGGTTTGTTCCTGGTTCACCTTGGAGGGGTCAGGTGCCTCTTCCCCCCCCTCCCTCCCCCGAACAGCAGTCTCCCCGGTGGAGAGAGAAAGAAAGGAGTCGGACCAGTCTCCTCAAATAAGTTCTCTATTGGGCTGCAGCATTTGATGGTGGGGAGGGGGCATGGCTCAGTGGCAGAGCCTCTGCTTGGCATGCCCAAGGTCCCAGGCTCAATCCCCGGCAGCATCTCCAAAAAGGACCAGGCAGGAGGTGATGGGAACTGAGACCCTGGAGAGCTGTCAAGAGGGTCTGTGGCTCAGTGGAAAAGCATCTGCTTGGCATGCAGAAAGTCCCAGGTTCAATCCCTGGCATCTCCAGTTCATAAAGGACCAGGCAGCAGGTGATGTGAAAGACCTCCGCCTGAGACCCTGGAGAGCTGTACAGAGGGGCCATGGCTCAGTGGAAGAGCCTCTGCTTGGCATGCGGAAGGTCCCAGGTTCAATCCCTGGCATCTCCAGTTAAAAGGACCAGGCAGCAGGTGATGGGAAAGACCTCCACCTGAGACCCTGGAGAGCTGTAAGGAGGGGCTGTGGCTCAGTGGCAGAGCCTCTGCTTAGCATGCAGAAGGTCCCAAGTTCAATCTCCAACATCTCTAGTTCAAAAGGGACCAGGCAGGAGGTGATGTGAAAGACCTCCGCCTGAGACCCTGGAGAGCTGTAAGGAGGGGCCGTGGCTCAGTGGAAGATCCTCTGCTTGGCACACAGAAAGTCCCAGGTTCAATCCCTGGCATCTCCAGTTCAAAAAGGACCAGGCAGGAGGTGATGGGAAACATCACCTCCGCCTGAGACCCTGGAGAGCCGCTGCCAGTCTGTGGTCTGTGTAGAGGACACTGACCTGGATGGACCGAGGGGCTGATGCATTTTCCTCCCCAGCTGGGGCACAAAGAGGCTTGGATCATCCTCCACCCCACCCCACCCCACCCCCACTCAGCCAGGCTGAGGGTGCGTGACAGGCTCAAGGTCACCCAGCCAGTCTCCAGGGCAGAAGGCAGGGGTTCAAACCCAGGTTACCCAGGGCTAGAGTTGGCATGTCGTCGTCCCGTCCCCCTCCCCCCGGACACCGATGGGTTGCCAGATCCAGGTTTGGGAAATCTGGGAGATTTGGGGGTGGAGCCTGGGAGAGACAGGGACCACCTCAGTGGGGAACAGGGACACAGAGTCCACCCTCCAAAGCAACCATTTTCTCCAGGGGAGCTGACCTCTGGAGTCTGCAGATGAGCTGTAATTCCGGGAGATGCCCAGGCCCCACCTGGAGGTTGGCATCCCTACGAAGCCGGGCCACTAGTTGGCCACTCTGTCCCCTTCAGCACGCCGGCTCTCCGATCGGGCACAAGCTGGTCGATTCCCAAGATCAAACCGGAAACTGGGGGACGAGTCTTATTCTGGCACCCCGTCTCTGTTTTCCCACCCTGCCTGCCCTAAACCTCGAAGCTTTCTCTCGCGAGTGGGAGGCGGTAGTCTGGAGGGATGGGCACAACAGGGCCCCCGTCGCTGGGGAGGGTTTCGCCTTGCGGCAGCTGAGTGAGTGTGAGCTAGCTCACAGTTTTCTAGCCTCCGGCTCACACATTTCTGTCTCAGCTCAGGAAGGATGGGGCTCCAGAGCAAACCAATTTATGCAGCAGCCAAATCGCCCGCTCACAACTTTAATGCCGGTAGCCCATAAAGTAGAATTTTTGCTCACAGGACTCCACAGCTTAGAGGGAGCCTTGGTCCCCAGGCCCGTAGCTACAGTGGGGGCCTCCCGGGGCCTGTAACTTACTGCCAAGGCCCCCTGACTTCCCATCCAGCCCACCCGCCCCCCAACTTCCATTTTTTAATTTCATTTGTGGCGCTCCCTTGGGTGTGTGTGGGGGGTGCCCCCGAATTATGTAAAGGCCCCCCCGAAATTAAAAAATCCTGGCTATGGGCCTGGGGGGTCCCCCTTTTCCAGCAGCCCCCTAGGCCCCTGGAAGCCCCCATGCCTTTCAGAAAGGCAGCCCAAGCCGTAAAGACGGAAGACGGCGACAGCCAAACCCAGCGGGTCAAAGAAAACCCGAAACCCTCCCTGGCCGTTGTTCTCACTAGCCGTGGAGCATCTCCGCGGGGAAAACGCTCCATACTCAGCAGCATCGGGAGGCCAAGTGGCATTTGAGACTCCAAATGCCAAGGAGGTTGGTTGGCAAGAGGTTGTGACGGCTGTGCCCTGAAGGAGAGCAGGGAGAGGTGCTCCAGAGACAGACCGGCCGGAAAGAGGAACTGGGGGAAGGCGTGGGGTGTGTGTGTGTGTGACAAAGAGAAGCAGGGACCTGCAGGGGACGGAATCCCAGCTGCTCACAGGGGAAGGGTACGGAGGCGTGAGTGAGGGCAGGGGGCACCACGGTGCGATCGGGTTGGGCCGGGCAAAGGGCCCGGGAGGCAAATCGGTTTCTCCAGGGGAGACAAAGGAAGCCAACCCGGAGCCCAAAGATCCACAGGCAAAGGATCTGTGTGTGGGGGGGGGGGGGGGAGTTCGCGGTGGGAGAGCAGGTCACCCATCTCCCCTGCAGAAGGTCCCAGGTTCTAAAGGGGCCGTGGAGCGGCTGTGGCTCACTGGTAGAGCCTCTGCTTGGCGTGCAGGAGGCCCCGGGTTCGACTTCTGACAGCATCTCTGATTAAGAGGACCAAACGGCAGGTGATGTGGAAGACCTTAACCGGAGATGCTGCCGGCTGAGTAGGCAATACTGACCCTGATGATCTGATGGCCTGATTCAGGGCAGTCTTCAGCAGCTGCAGCTCGCAGCAAGGCCTGGGAAAGGACTTCCTAGGTCAAAGGCGCCAGAGGGACACTCCCGGCCAAAGCAAACCATGCGGAAGAGCTGCGTGGATGAAGGATTGGCCCCAGGGCTGCCAGGTCCCCTGTTGGGAAAGGCTCGGAGGGTGGGGGGTGGAGCCTGAGGGGGCGGAGTTTGGGGAGGGGAGGGACCTCAGCAGCGTATGGTGCCACAGAGTCCGAAGCAGCCATTTTTTCCAGGTGAGCCGATCTCTGTCGCCTGGAGCTCAGTTGTAATCCCAGGAGGTCTCCAGCCACCACCTGGACGTTGGCACCTCTAGCGAGGCAACTTCAAGAGGGCTTGCTGGCGATTTCACCCAGAGATGTCAGGGGGTAGCCTCGTAGCGTTGGTCGTAGCAAAACAGAACAGAATTGAACGGCACCTTCCGAGCCAACAGGATTTTATTCCAGCATAAACATCCGTGTTTCAGACACTGAGAGGGGGGGGGGGCCCTCCGGTCCAGGAACACTTCCTCAAAAGTAGCACCTTGTTTGGTGTAGTGACCAGTTTGGTGTCATGGTTAAGTGCGTGGACTTATCTGGGAGAATCGGGTTTGATTCCACACTCCTCCACTCGCAGCTGCTGGATGACCTTGGGCAAGCCATAGTTCTGTCAGAACTGTTCTCTCAGGAGCAGTCCTTGAAAGAGCTCTCTCAGCCCCGCCTACCTCACAGGGTGTCTGTTGTGGGAAGGGGAAGGGGAAGGAGATTGTAAGCTGCTCTGAGACTCCTTCGGGTAGTGAAGGGCGGGGTATAAATCCAATCTCCTCCTCCTCTTCTCCTTCTTCTCCTTCTTTGTCTTGAAGTTGCCACTGTTAATTTTGTGTGTAACTTTTCCATGTGCCAGTTTAACACTGAGAGCCTGGCACCAGCAGGATATTCTTACTGAGTCCCTGGAAAACGCTCGGCTGGTCTCCCGAGTGACCGGGGTGTGTGTGTTGTGGGCCAGCCAGAAAAGGGGGGGGGGGGGGGGGGGGGCTGGGACCATGACCGGTGCCCCTTGGGCTGGGCTGGGCTGCCCTGTTTATAGTTCAGGCCCTGCGGAATCCTCTCTGGAGAGTGGCCTTGCTTGCCACTAGGCCGATACTCATCATCAGCCACCTTGGCTCGGTCCCAGGTGTACTTCTACAAAAGGGGGCTAAAGGACACCTATATGGACACTAGAGTTGGGTTCCCAGCTCTGGGTTGGGAAACTCCTGGAGATTTGGGGGGTGGGGTCTGGGGAGAGGAGGGACCTCAGCAGGTTATAAATACCATAAAGTCCCCCCCCCTCCAAATTAGCCATTTTCTTTAGGGCAACTGATCTTGGTCGCCCGGAGATCAATTGTAATAGCAGGAGATCTCCAGGTGCCACCTGGAGTCTGGCAACCCTACACACTAGGGAAGCCAACCATGTTCTCACGTGGTCCCACAGGTACAGTGGGAGACGGCTTTGGCCTCGGCTTCTGCTCCACCAGACCCCGGTTTGTGGGCGAACCTGTCAGTTTTTGCACGTGCCGCCTTCCCCTCTGGAAAACCCGCCTCGCGCCTCGGCTGTGGGAGGTCGGAAAGGGCAGCCGCTTCCGATGTCCGCACCGTGCCACGGCTCGGGACGCGTGAGGTCGCTTTCAGATGTGCCAGGCAGAAACACCTGCGTCCCGCGAGGCCTTTAAAGAGCACAATGCGTTGTTGCTTCCCCACAGACATAGAGGCCTGGACAGGAAGACAATGGCCCAGCGGAGCCCGATCTTCCCGACGCTCGGCCCCACGGAAAGGTACCTTCTGGCTGCAGAGGAGGCGGGGGCTGGCTGGCGGGGGGGGGAAGGTGGGTGGCCCTGGCGAGCGAGTCTCAGGGCCCTGTGGATGGCTCCATTCTGCAGAAGCATACAGAGCGCTGCCTTGTGTGGGTGGGGTTCACTTTCCTGAGAGAACCGCTGCTCTCTCTTGTTTCTTTTCAAACGTCAGTTCCAAGCCCGTAGGACTGTGAGGATATGCATAAGAGTGGGCAGCCGGTGCCTGTTCCAGCTTTATTTCATTTCAAATTTATTTTATCTGTGTCATTGATGCCCTGACCTGGATAGCCCGGGCTAGACCGATCCCGTCAGATCTCGGAAGCTAAGCAGGGTCGGCATTGGCTAGTATTTGGAAGGGCGACCTCCAAGGAATGCCAGGGTCGTGATGCAGAGGCAGGCAATGGCAAACCGCCTCTGAAATGTCTCATTCCTTAAAAACAAGTTAGCTCTCCACCTAGTGGTGCATAACGCTAAAAGAGCTAGACCTTCTGGCTGCCAGACAGTCTTAGGATCTCCTGGCTATTCTACACACAATGCCCTAAGGTAATTAATTCATTTTGCATCATTTATACCCTGCCTTTCTCCCCAAGGGGGGGCTCAAAGCAGCTGGCATCAGTTTCTTCTCCTCCGATTTATCCTGTCAACAACCCCGTGCCTACCGCAGGCTGAGAACGTATCACTGCCCCCAGACACCCAGCGAGCTTCCAGGGCAGATTTCAAATTTCATGGGGATTCGAACTCGTGTTTCCCAGATTCTAGTCCGACCCTGAAAACTAGACTGGCTCTCCGTTGCCGAAACTTGAGGCGTTGCTGGTTCAGAGTTCCAGCCCCGGTTGTGGGGAGGGAAGTGGGCACCGCTCCTTTCCACTTCCCAGGACAGCCAAAAGGAGAAGAAAACAGACAGTTTAGCAAAAACAAAAAATGAGAAAACCAAATGGTGCCAAAGAAGCTGATGCATTCTTTCAGTGTTTGGTGCCCCCCCCCCCCCGGCTCAGGGAGATGCCTCTCTCAGCCCAGAGGTGATGAAACACCCTGTGGGTTTTTGTGGCAGAATTTTGGATTGAGGGAGACTTGGCCATTTCTGTATAAGGTATATTGAATAGACGTCGCAAAAACAGACTTCCCATAAAGCTCTACAGTATGCCCAGTTCCTGCTTCCTAGTTGCACAGCCATGCCGGGCTGTGAACACTTTCCCACACATGGCTACTGCGTAAACAAGTTTGCTCTGGAGCCCTCCGTCCTGAGCTGAGACAAAAATGTGTGAGCCGGAGGCTGAAAACTGTGAGCCGGCTCACACAAACTCAATTTAGAGGGAACACTAGTGTGCACTGCCGTTTTTGGTGAGCGAATTGTTCTCTTTCTGCGAGAGATTCTCCCCCCTGCCCGTGGGGGTCCTCTTTTGGCATCCAGCTGCAGAATGTTTGCCTTGGAGGTTTGGAGGCTGAGCAGACAGGAAGACGGGTGGGATGGCTGGGAGGGGCCCTGGATGGAGCAGATCGATGGGAGGCCGACTGGGTTGCCGGCCGAGGAGGTTGGAGCTGAGAGGGGCTGAGATGAGGATGCAGGCGGGCGACCTGGCAGGCCGAGAGGGGAGCAGGGAGGGAGACAAGGAGGCGGTAGGGGTGCCAGCCTCCAGGTGGGGCCTGGGGATCCCCTGGAATCACAGAGCATCTCCAGACGACAGAGATCAGTTCCCCCTGGGGAAGGGATGCTTTGGAGGGTGGACTCTCTGGCATTGTGCCCCACTGAGGGAGGTTCCTGTCCTCCCCAGGCTCCATCCCCAAATCTCCAGGAGTTTCCCAACCTGCATCTGGGAACCGTGCCCTCCCCTTCGCAACCAGTGGCTGGGGGGACGGGACCTGGGCTGCTGCTGCTGCTGCCCTGAGAAGCCACAGGTGGGCTAGGAAAGACCTGGTGATTTTGAGGGTGGAGCCTGAGGAAGGCGGGGCTTGGGGAGAGGAGGGGCCTCAGCAGGGTCCAATGCCATGAAGTCTACCTTCCACAGCAGCCATTTTATCCAAGCAAACCGGTCTCTGTCCCCTGGAGATCGATGGTAATAGCAGGAGGTCTCCCGCTGCCACCTGGAAGTTGGCAGCCTTGTCCTGGCACAACATCTGGCTGCTGCCCCTTTAACTCCCCAGGGAAGTCAAACCCCCCCCCCCCCCCCGCACCCCCCCCGTGGAGCACACGACAAATATAAGAGAAGCCCATGTTGGGTCAGGCCAATGACCCATACAGTCCAACACTCTGGGTCACACAGTGGCCAAAAATATCAGGTGCCATCAGGAGGTCCAGCAGTGGGGCCAGAACTCCAGAAGCCCTCCCACTGTTGCCCCCCCCCAGGGACCAAGAATACAGAGCACCCCTTGCCCCAGACAGAGAGTTCCTATCTATACCTTGTGGCTAAGAGCCACTGATGGACCTCTGCTCCAAATGTTTCTCTAATTCCCTTTTGAAGCCGTCCATGCTTGTAGCTGCCACCACCTCCTGTGGCAGTGAATTCCATGTGTTAATCACTCTTTGGGTGAAGAAGGACTTCCTTTTATCCGTTCTAACCCGGCCACTCAGCAATTTCATTGAGTGCCCACAATTTCCTGTATTGGGAGAAAGGGAGAAAAGGACTTCTCTTACCTGCTCTATCCCACGCATAATCTTGTAAACCTTGATCATGTCACCCCCCTCAGCCGTTGTTTCTCCAAGCTCAAGAGCCCCAAGCGCTTTAAACCTCCTTCATAGAGAAAGTGTTCCAACTCTTTTATCATCCTAATTGCCCTTTTCTGCACTTTCTCCAAAGCTATAATATTCTTTTTGAGGTGTGGTGACCAGAACTGTACACAGTACTCCAAATGAGGACGTACCATCGATTTATACAGGGGCATGATGATACTAGCCGATTTGTTTTCAATCCCCTTCCTAATAATCCCCAGCATAGCGTTGGCCTTTTTTACTGCAGTCGCACACTGCCTCGACGTTTTCATTGAGTTATCTACTACGACTCCAAGATCTCTCTCTTGGTCAGTCTCTGCCCGTTCGGACCACAGGTGGGCAGGAAGCCACAGGTGGGCAGAAGCAAACCAAGCCAAACCCTGGTGAGGGACAGGAGCTCACCTGTTGCCACTTCCCCCCCACCCCCCACAGGAGAATGCAACAGGTGCATCAGTGCCCCCCACTGTTGCTGGCCAGAGTCATGCTGGGTGGAGTTGCCAACCTTCAGGTGGGGCCTGGATATCTCTGAGTCACAGCTGATCTCCAGATGATGGACATTCGTTCACGTGGAGAAAACGGCCGCTTTGGAGGGTGGACCTTAGGGCATTCTACACTGCTGAGCCCCCTCCCCTCCCCTCCCCAGCCTCCACTCCCAAAATCTCCAGGTATTTCCCAACCCAGACCTGGCAACCCTAACACTGGGCTGTTTGGCTCAACTAGCTCCAAGGCCATCTCGATGCCCCAGTCAAGCCCAGGCAGGTAGCAGCTATCGCTGGACCAGGCCCAGGCAGGCAGCAGCTACTGCTGGGCCAGGGCCAGGAAGGTGCCAGGGGAGCAGAGATGTTGGGAAAGCAAAACCCCTCCTCCTTCCTGCCATCCTCAGCGGCAGCTCACCCCACAGGGTCCCCGGTGCCCAGGCCAGAAGGCTCCCGTGGCACGCCATGGCTGATGGGAAAGCCCCGTGGGATCCGGTGAGTGCAGGGGCCCCGCAGCGAGGCCCTCCCTCTCTCCCTTGGTGCCCTCCTGTCTCCAGGCGCATCCGGAATATCCCGCTGCACAGCCAGGCTCTGACCGCTGTTCCGCTTGGGTCAGCCAGACTGGTGGACCAGCTCGAAGACCGCATCCTCAGCCATGAGAAGACGACGGCCGCCCTGGTGGAGCACGCCTTCCGCATCAAGGAGGACATCGTCTCCACCCTGCACAGGATGCAGAACAAGGGGGGAGGAGACCGCCTGGCCCGCCAGCTCCTCGAGGAGCACATCCGCAACATCACCGCCATAGTCCGGCAGCTCAACCGCGACATCGAGGTCAGTGGGTGGGGGCAGCGCCTCCTTTGCTGGGGCGTCTGTGCTGGTCCTCGTTCCCTGAGAGGAAGGAAACACTGGGAGTGGGCCGGGCAGAGCGTTGGCAGGATGGTTGGAGGGTTGGCTGGCACTACTTGCGCAAGATCGCACGTACACCGAAGGTGTTAATTGCACCAAGGTGCGCTAAGCTGTATGTCCCCGCCCCCTTTAAAAGCAAAATCAGGACAATACCTGAACTGCAGGAGTTCTACCTCCGTGTTCCTTTCTTCCCCGTCTCTGTGTTTTGGTGGTGGGTACCCCGGGCTGCAGTGGCTCAAGTGGTTAAGACGCTGAGCTGCAGACCGGAAGGTTGGTAGTTCGGCAGTTCGCATGACGGAGTGAGCTCCCGTCCCTGGCCCCGGCTCCTGCCAACCTAGCAGTTCGAAAGCAAGAAATTGCAAGTAGATAAATAGGTACCACTTTGGTGGGAAGGGAACAGCGTTCCGTGCGCCTTGGTGTTTAGTCAGGCCGGCCACATGACCACAGAAAAGTCTTTGGACAGCGCTGGCTCTTCGGCTTGGAAACGGAGATGAGCACCGCAACCCTAGAGTCGGACTCGACTGGCTTGCGAGCAAGGGAGACCTTGACCTTGACCTTGTGCCATCCAGTCACAGCCAACTGATGGTGCCCCTGTAGGGTTTTCAAGGCAACAGACGAACGGAGGTGCTTGCCTGCCCCTGCGTAGCGACCCTGGGCTTCCTTGGGGGTCTCCCATCCAAGGACTAACCAGGGCCGACCCCGCTTACCTTCCGAGATCTTGCCTTGACCAGTCTTTTTGTTTATCAATTGCAGGTTCTGCAGGAACAGATCCGAGTCAGGGATAACCTCAGCTACGGCACGAATTCGACCCTGAAGAGCCTGGAGATGCGCCAGCTGTCCAGCCTGGGCGACCTCAGAGGCCGCGTCGCGAGGTAGGCCCTGGGGAGGGGCTGTTTCTCTGCGAGAGAGTCGCTGCTGCGAGCTCACCTGAACGGGATGGCCAACTGGGGACTTTAATCCAGGTGTCCCCATAGGGTTGCCAACTCCAGGTTGGGAAAGCCCTGGAGATTGGGGTGGGGGCAGGGGAGGTGGGTTGGGGTGGGGCGGGGCCTCAGCCACGGAGCCCACCCTTCAAAGCGGCCATTTTCTCCAGGGGAATTGATCTCTGTAGTCTGGCGATCAGTTGAGATTCTGGGAGATCTCCAGGCCCCACCTGGAGACTGGCAACCCTGTCTCCCCAGTCGTGGTCTGACTGCTACAGTAGAAGAAGAAGATGAAGAGATTGGGTTTGATACCCGGCCCTTCACTACCCAAAGGTGTCTCAGAGCGGCTGACAAACTCCTTTCCCTTTCCCTCCTCATAACAGACACCCGGTGAGGTGGGTGGGGCTGAGAGAGCTCTTGACCGAAACTGCTCTTTTTCAAAAACAGCTCTGTGGTGAAACAGGGACCCATCCTCAGCCCTGGGAGACTGAGCAGCCGTCCTGTGGCTCGCAAGCCGCTGTTTTTGCCTTCCCACCCTTTCCTGGTGGGGCTATTTCTCTTCGTTACACGCTGCCACTACTCACTGGATTGCCACCGCCTTCCTAGAGGGACAGTGAGACCCCTCTGGCTGATTTCCCCACCCTTGGGAAGTTGGTACCGCACTCTTTGGGCACCCCCTGGAGAGAGATTTGGGCCCGTTTGGGATCCCCGGCCTCCTTTTGCCCCTGGTAATGTGCTGAGCAAGGAGGACTAGGTAGTCAAGGCACACCAGGTCTTAGAATCCGAAAAAAAGATTTATTTGAACTATTTGCAACTTAAGCACAGTAAATAAACACGAGCACATTAACACAACCTGGGCAGAAAATAAACACGACTTAAAACGCCACTCCTCTGTCCCCGACACACCCCTCACTGTCTCTGGAGCCCTCCACCGGACTGGTCACTGGTCCTGTTGCCCTCCTGCCCTCCAACCACGGTGTATAGTGGCCTGGGTGCCCTGGAGTTTGAGGCAACAGGAGCCCCCCCCCCCCGTCTGCTCCCTCGAAGCGGCCGTCCACACTGAGCCAAAGGCTGAAGACCAGGCTGAAGACCGAACTCCTCCCTCAGGGCCAAAGCCTTTCCCCCCTAACACCACCCCTGGGGCGTGTCCATATTTCCTCGCCCTTTTCCCCTAGCGCTTCTGCGAAATGTAGGCAGGCAAATGAGGAAGTCCCATCAACCCGGTGAGGGTTATCCCTGCAGGCCCCCCTCCGGAACTACAGGCCACTTACCCTTATGGGGAACTGGTTTAAACACCAGGTACAGACGGCCTCCATCTTACACACCCAGGTAAATGCCATTTCGTCACAAGCTCTGACAGAACTATGGCTTGCCCAAGGTCATCCAGCAGGTGCGAGTGGAGGAGGAGTGGGGAATCAAACCCGGGTCTCCCAGATTAGAGTCCGTGCACTTAACCGCTACACCAGACTGGCTCCCTTTCGAAGTCTCTTTCCTTGGAAAGCAGGAAAGAGAAAATCGAAGCGGTGCTGATGGTTGTGTTTGGGACACGACCCCATCGCAGGGCAGGGTCCTCCGCTTGAGGAGGACGCATCAGAACGGGATGTCTGGATTTGGCAATTCGCTGTTCCTTTGTTCTCCCACACACACACACACGCGCGCACACTAAAACGAAAAAAATAACATGCAGTCGGTGGAACGGCTTCATTGCAGAGATCTGTCGGGTCTTTGTAAAAACAAAGATGCTCTGCAGAAGTTGTTTGCTTTGCCTGTAGGTGGTTTACTGGTGGAGAAATTGGAGGTGTGATTGTGCCAGTGCTTGAAGATCTCTTTGATGAGTCACAAAAAAAGAACATCTCCACTCTCTAGAGACAGAGCTGGGGTTTCTCGCTGTGCGGCCCCTGGCTCCTCTTGGTATGAAACTCTTTGGGAAAGAACCAAAATCCTCAAAACACCATTATTGGCCCCAAACTGGGAATGCCAGCCCTCCAGGTGGGACCTGGGGATCCCCTGGAATTACAGCTCATCTCCAGACTACAGAGATCGGTCCCCCTGGAGAAAACGGGCTACTCTGGAGGGTGGAGGATGACTTTGTGGCCTCGTACCCCACTGAGGTCCCTGTCCTCCCCAGGCTCCATCCCCAAATCTCCAGGAGCTTCCCAACCTGTTTGGTGTCGTCGTTAAGAGCGCAGACTCTCATCTGGGAGAACCGGGTTTGATGGTGTGACCTTGGGTCGGTCACAAGTTCTCTCAGAGCTGTTCTCTCAAGGGCAGTTCTGGAAAGAGCTCTCTCAGCCCCACGCGCCTCACAGGGTGTCTGTTGTGGGGAGGGGAAGGGAAGGATTTTGTAAGCTGCTCTGAGACTCCGAGGGAAATGCAGGGTACAGATTCAATCTCTTCTTCTTCTGGACCTGGCAACCCCACCCCCGCATCCCCCACCGGTGGCTGGGGGCACTTGGCAAACCGATCCCAAAGCGCACACCGGGGGCCTCCCGAGCTGCCCAAGTGCCTTGCTTCACACAGACGGCTTCCAGATCCCTGTCGCATGTATAATCTGGGCCGTTTTTCAAGACTGCAGTCTGGTTTAACCAGCAATTAGATTAAATTAGATTACTCACGGCCTTTGCAGGCGACACTCTCGCTTATTGGGACTTAATTTTCTAATGGATTCTTCCGTGAATTCACTGGGACTCATCTAGGGCTCTTGCCGGGTGTCCCGTATTGTATGGAAAGCCTCTTTTGGGGGAAGCCCTCCCCTGCAAAGTCCCATGTCGTTTCTGTTGCTGAGAGGATCGCCGGATGAGCGCGGGAGCAAAACTGGAATGCGTGCATGCGTGTGTGTGTGTGTGTCTGGAAACGGCTCGAAGAGCTTGTCTGCAGGGGTTCTGGTGTGATTGGTGTTGCCGGAGGAAATGAAGCATCTCGGCCATGCTTTCTTGAAACGGGGGATCAAGAGAACCGTCCTAAGCAGAGAGCTTAGCAGCAAGGGAGGCAAGGCTCCGGATGTATTTCCCAGGGCCCCCAAGTCCAACGATGTCAAACTGGGCATGGGACAGTGAGTCAGCAAAAGAAGGCAATAGGCCCATGCCTCCTGGTTTGCCATCTGAAGGCCTGCAGACTCTGTCCTTGAGTGTGCCCACTGGGCAGAGAGAGGAGCCCGCTGGGTAGAGGAGGGGTGGGGCAGAGAGGCCTGTTTGCCCACCAGAGCTCAGAGCTTTGGCAGATCGCCCTGACCCTCTCTTGGCACAATGGAACAGAACGGCGTGTTCAGGAATGTCACCGTGCTCTGGAGCCCCGATGGGCTCTTTTTTGTTTCAGGCGTGTTTTTCATTTTGCTGTGCCCGCCGACTGCAGAGTGGGGGGTGGGGGGCTGTTGCTTTGGCACAGGCACGCACACAGACACGCACACACACCGCTCTGGCAGCGGCTCTCTCCCCCGAGGACGTGGGGATGGCTCTGAATTGTCAGCGACAAAAGCGGCTTTTCAGCAACAGGGGAAAATAAGCCCTCTGAGAGCTGGAAGGCAGCGAGGCGCACGCAGCGCCGCCGCTATAAACGGTGTCTTTGAAAGGCTGCCGCCTTCTCACGACAATCCGGTGTGCTGGCAACTCGAGCTGGTTGGCGTGCCGGTTCGGTTCTTCCCATATCCTTTCCTTCTTCAGGCAAAAGCAGACCATTGCAACGGCTGCCAATCAAATCGTTCTCTTTTTTTGTCTGAGAGGGAGACAGGAACTTGGCAACGTCACCCCAGCCAGGACGTCCTTTCAAATATGTCTGGGCAAAATGCAATGTTCCTGCTGGCTTCGATGGGCAGAACAGGCAGGACCTGGAGACTGAGGCTCCGCTCTGAGTGTGGGTTATGGCTGGGAGTGAAGCAAGGCCGGATGCAGCTAGTGCTGGAATGAGACACCTGCTGGGTCCTTAAGCCCCCCAACTGTTGATTCCAGCATCAGCTTCCAGAGTCTGGAGCCCCTGTCTTCTAGGGGTGCCAGCCCCCAGGATCCCCCCAGAATTACAGCTCATCTCCAGATGACAGAGATTAGTTCCCCTGGAGAAAACGGATGCTCTATGGCACTGTACCCCGCTGAGGTCCGTGTCCTCCCCAGGCTCCACTGCCAAATCTCCAGGAGTTTCCTGACCTGGATCTGGCCACCCTGTAGCACAGTCACCCTACTGATGTGACATCCCAAACTAGTTCCCCTAATGGACGAATGTTGTTGTCATTAGCCATTCAGTCAAGCTCGACTCTTGGCGGTTCTATGGCCCAGCTCTCTCTCCACGTTTTCCAATCTTGTGCTGTTCCTTTGAGTCGCTCCATGCTCAGGCTGGTGTCGATTTTTACGGTGCCTAGCCACCGTGTCCTTTGGCGGCCCGGTTCCCTTTTGCCACTAACCCATCCAAGCATCGTTGCTTTTTCTGGTGAGTTCTTCTGCACGGCATGGCCGAAATAAGTCAGTCGCAGTTTTGTGATTTTTCCCCTTCCAATGGCATGTCTGGTTTTATGCGCTCCAACACCTGCTTGTTTGTCACCTTTGCTGCCCAAGGAATGCGCAGGACCCTCCCCCCTCCTGTCTTGCTTCTTCACGGACTAACAGGGTGTTAAATCATGAGACAATCTGGTTAATCGTTTTCAAGAGAGACCGCTTGTAACTAACAAGCAGTCCTTGTTTTTCTCTTTGGGAAGGTAATTATTTTCAAACACGTCCCCTTGAACATAACGGTGATCGCAAACTGACCTCCTTTCAAGGGAGCCTGTGCCAAGTAATGATCTATCTCGGGCCCTCCGAACATCCTTTTGGGTAGGAGAGTTTTGTTTCCCTCCGCTGAAATCTTCCACTTCCCGCACGCCTCGAGCACAGATTTGTGTGTGGGCTCAGCCATTTATTGGAAATCTCTGCAGGGGAGGGGAAGGAACGCTTGGTTTTATGTAAGAGCCCAGTCTCCGTTTCTAAGTGCTACATGAATGAAATTGTGTGTGCGTGTGTGTATGCGTGTGCGTTCATGGCTGCACAATGAGGATTCCACCAAGAGCTGATCTCCAGACAGTGTTTTTGGAGGACTGATCAGAAGTTGGAAAGGGTGAAACTGCAGTTCCTTGCTCGGGGAAAGAGCACAGGTGTGGGTGGAGGTGGGGGGGACGCACCTGGCAAGACAGAAGGGGTGGGGTGAGCTGAAACTTGGCTGGGATAAATAAAACCCCAAAGCATGCAAAAGCTGTCGCCACCACCAAGCTGGACAGCTGTCCAGTTCGCTAATCTCCCTCTGCCATGTTTCTCTCGGGCACCCCTGTGCAACCTTCCCACCCATCTCTTCCTCCCTGAAGCCTCAAGACCTCACCAGTGGGAAATTCCAGCTCAACGCTATGAGTGGGGGAGGGTTGCCACCCTCCAGGTGGGACCTGGGGATCCCCTGGAATTACAGCTCATCTCCAGATGACGGACATCAGTTCCCCTGGAGGAAATGGCTGCTTTGGAAGGCGGAGTCTATAACCTTATACCCCACTGAGGTCCCTCATCTCCCTAAACCCCGCCTCCCCAGGCTCCGCCCCCCAAATCTCCAGGGATTTCCCAACCAGGAATTGGCAAGGGGGGCGAGGAGCCCTGCATAAACAGCGCAGAATTCCATGCTGCAAGTTTGGTGTAGTGGCTAGGAGCGCAGACTCTAATCTGGGAGATCCGGGTTTGATTTCCCACGCCTCCACATGCAGCTGTTGGGTGATCTTGGGCAAGCCGTAGTTCTCTCAGAGCTGTTCTCTCACAAGCAGTTTCTGTCAAGAGCTCTCTCAGCCCCACCTACCTCACAGGGTGTCTATCCTGGGGAGGGGGAGGGAAAGGAGTTTGTAAGCTGCTCTGAGACTCCAAGTGAAAGACAGAGTATAAATCCAATCTCCTCCTCCTCCAACAGAGGTTCATCCCCAGTATCCTTACCAGGGCTGCAGGTAAAAGCATGCTTACACAGTGAATCCACACATCCCCCATCACCTGAATCACCTCCCTCCCATTATCAGCATCTGTACAGGTCCAGGGTGCAATGTTCCCTCTAAGCTGTGGGGTCTTGTGAGCAAAAATTCTACTTTGTGAGCTACTGGCATTAAAGTTGTGAGCAAGCAATTTGGCTACTTCATAACTTAGTTTGCTCTGGAGCCCTCTTTCCTGAGCTAAGACAAAAATGTGTGAACTGGAGGCTAAAAAACTGTGAGCTAGCTCACACTGACTCAGCTTAGAGGGAACACTGCCAGGGTGTATGTTTGGTGACTTCTAAGTACTCCAATTATGTCCCACCATCTCCTGAGTGGGAACAGCGTGCAGAATGTGTGTACACAATTAAGTGATGTAGGCTTTTTTGATGTCAGGGGTGGTGGTGGAGTGAAAGCCAGATTTTTGTGGCCTGCAGCAGTGGAGGAAATGGGTTTTCCCCCCGGATCCTAATGGCAATCCCTGCCTGTGATTTAACTGAACAGGTGTGATGCCGGCTTAGCCAGGCTGTCTGCTGAGCACAAGGTGACCTACGAGCGACTCCAGAACCTCAGCAAAGACCAGCAAGCATCAAAACTGATCTTGGAGTCGAAAATCAAAGAAGCAGAAATCCAGGTAAGATACCAAGAAGGCGAAAGGGTGGGTCCCCCTTCCCCATCACTTTCAGCTCCTGTGGCAGATGGGTAGGGGTCATTTTGTAGAAAAAAAAGGTGCAGGGGCTCATTAGCATAACTGATTAGCATAACTCGTTTGCATATTGCCACACTCCCTGACATCACCGGAAGTGTGTCAGAAGGCAACACCCACTGCTCAGGCTCCACTGGACTGTTTCGGATTGCTAGCTATTGGTGGGGGGGAACGTGTGCAGATCTGTCCTCGCAGAGGAGGGGGAGCTTGTACCTGAATAAAACTTGGTCTTAAAGGTGCCACTCGACTGATTTGGACCGGGGGGGGGGGCTCTGCAACTTACCTGGCTGCTTCTTGCTCTGACTGAGGGCTGCTGGGAGCAGTGGGCGGGGCTTGTTGCATGTGCCTGCCCCCTGGGCTCTTTACTGCCGGAGCTCCACTCCTGTGCGCTCCTGCAGGAAATGACCCCTGCAGACGGGTCTCCTTTTGGTTTCTGGGAGAACCCGGAACCTCGCAAGCAGTTCCTAAACAGCTCTAGGCGTTGGGAAGACCCGAGTGCCCTCAGCAGGGAAGCCACAGTGTATTTCTCTCTAGCCATGTTGCGTTCTTGGGGAGCGCCTTTCATAGTTTCCCAGAATCCCTTGGAAGTGCTCCAAAACCGACAAAGCTTGTGGGAACGAGGAGGGGCTGCGTGGTGATGATGGCTGGGCCCAGGCGGGATGTGTCCTGCCCTGCTGCTCCACTAAGGCAGAAGGTTTTTCTCGGTGGGATACAACCCAGTGTCTCTTAGGCCACCTTTACACTACAGGTCGGTGTCAACTGGTTTTGAAGGCATTCCCCTCCCTTCCCCAGGGTGCTGCGGGAATGGCAATTCTTTGTGTGTGTGTGGGGGGGGAGATCTCTATGAGGTCATTCTGAAGCACATTTGCCAACCTCCGATGCCCCGGGGGGGTGGGGGGTGGAAAACCAGGGCAGTGAAAGTAGTAGGGAAGCAGTGCCAGCTCGCAACTGAGATACACCTTCGCTCTCTCTGCATGGAATTTATCTGAGCCAAAGTAGACGTTAGCAGAAGCCGGAATAAAACAGAAGCCTTGAATCTGTTTGCTTTCCCGATAACATGGTCGTGTACAAATAATGTAATCTCCTTGTCTGATGCGTCTCCTCGACCCTCTTCAATAATGGATGGCCCTTTTGCCAGGAGACAAATCGTCTCCTTGTTCCCTTCTTACACCCTGCAACCAGTGTTCCCTCTGAGCTGAGGGAGTGTGAGCCAGCTCACAGTTCTTTAGCCTCCGGCTCACCCATTTTGGTCTTAGCCCAGGAAGGAGGGCTCCAGAGCAAACTGATTTATGCACCACTTTAATGCCGGCAGCTCACAAAGGAGAATTTTTGCTCACAAGACTCCACAGCTGAGAGGGAGCCTTGCCTGCAACTGGGAGAAGGAGGTGAGCAAAGAGACTGGAAGGTTTGTTTTTGTCAGAAGAGTTGGGCTGGATCAGCTCGAAGGGTCCCTGTGGCCTGGCAGCCTTCTCCTCCCCATGGCCACAGCCACGTGCGTCCAGGAGGGTTGTCACCTCCAGGCTGGGAAATACCTGGACATTTTGGGGGTGGAGCTTGAGTAGGGCGGGGCTTGGGGAAGGGAGGGGAGAGACTTCAATGAGGTATAATGCCATAGAGTCCACCTTCTAAATTGGCCATTTTATCCAGGTAAACATCCTGGTCGTCTGGAGAGCAAGTGTACTAGCAGCAGGAGATCTCCAGGTGCCACCTGGAGCTTGGCAGCCCTAGTGTGCAGGAGGGGAGTCCGCGCTGGCTGGGAGGGGACCAAGCTGAATCCTTGCAGTGGCAGCGCTGCCAGGGTTGCTCTGGATGGAAGCAGATAGAATCTGAATCAAGCAGACCCCCCTGGATTGGCCAGCTTTGTGGGTGCTCGGTGTGGCTTGCTCCAGGCCTTCCATGGCCTCCCGAGAACTTATAGAACCACAGAATCATAGAGTTGGAAGGGGTCTCCAGGGTCATTCAACCCCCTGCACAATGCCGGAAATTCACGACGACCTATCCCCACACACAGACACACCCCCAGTGACCCCTGCTCCATGCCCAGAAGATGACCAAAACCCCTCCAGGATCCCTGGCCAAACAATTGCTCCCTGACCCCAGAGTGGTGCCCAGTGTTTCCCTGGGCGTTTCAGAAAGGGCCACAATGAGAACTAAGCCCTGAGGCAACCCTTCCTGCCCTCCCTCTCGTGATCTGCCTAAGTTCACGGAATCCGCCTTGCTGTCAGATGGGGCCATCTAGCCTCTGTTTGAGACCCTCCGGAGAAGGAGAGCCCACCACCTCCCGAGGAAGCCCGTTCCACTGAGGAACTGCTCTGTCAGGAAGGTCTTCCTCATGTTTAGCCAAAAACTCTTCTATTTAGTTTCAACCTGTTGTTTCTGGTCCAGCCTTCTGGGGCAACAGAAAACCACTCCGCTCCATCTTCTAGATGACAGCCCTTCGAGGCCTTGAAGATGGTGATCCTCTCCCCTCTCAGTCATCCCCTTCTCCAGGCTAAACAGACCCCAGCTCCTTCCGCTTTCTCAGTCTATTTAGAGTTGCCAACCTCCTGGAGGTACCTGGAGCTCTCCTAGAATTACAGGTGAGCTCAGACTTAACAGAGAGCTGTTTCCCTGGAGGAGACGGCTGCTTTGAAGGGTGGGTGGGCACCGTGGCATTCTATCCTGCGGAGGTCCCTCCCCTCCTCAACACCAACCCCCCTAGGCTCCAAATCTCCAGGAATTCCCCAACATGGAGTTGGAAAACCTTGGTCTGTGCCTCCCCTGTTGCAGGATGTGACTCCCCAAATGCCGTTTAAGTTTCTCGGGGCTGCCTTCCGCCTTCCGTGGCCCTGCTGGGTGTCAGAAGAGGCCAGCGCTTGTCCGTCTGCCCCGCTGAGGCCCACTCACAATCTGGAGACGCATCGGCGAAGGGAAAAAAATAATCCTGCAGCCCAATGTGCTCAGTCATCATCCTCCGGCGTTACTCAGCGAGACCGTGTGCCAGTGATTCAGGGCGGAAAAGGGATCCCGTGACATTCTGAACATCTGCATTTAGACAGCTGTAGGTTTTGGGGGGAGGGAAGGGGAGAGGCGGGTCATAGCTCCGGCGGGTCATGTTTACCATTTTGGAAACACGGAAATGTTTAATCCGCAGCCTATTTCGGTATCTGCTGAATGCGGCACGAGGCCAGATTGTGGTGAATCTGGTCCTGGTGAACTTTGTCGTTGTCTGTTCTCCTGTTAATAACTTGATCACAAACGTGTCGAGGGAAACTGTAATGTATTGAGCCTCAGCCATCCCTCAAGGTGTACCGGGAACTGGTAGAGCTTGCCACTCTAGAACAATAGCTCACCGGGATCCTGGAGTAGACCGACAGATAAGTGTTGTAATGTAAATAGCCTATCCTTGGGAGTGTGTGTGTGTGTGTGTGTTGGGTGTGGTGTTTGCACGCTTGAAAAGCAGGACTCAAGCCATGCTGTTTGTCCTTGCCCTGCGCTTGAAATCACTAAATAAACTACAGCTGATCACTGCAATGCGCCCAGAACCCAGTATTTAATAGAAACACAGACAATGCTTCGGCTTTCCATGGAGAAATGTAAGGACTGAGAGAAACGTTAGGTGGGTTTAACTAGAATTAATCGTCCGAGCCACCTCTGGCCCCCGAGCACGACTAATGAGCTGTCGGAGAGCGCTTCGGCACTTGAAATCTCAAATCCTGAAAACCGTCTTCAGTCTCCAAGGTCCAACTGGACTTGAATTCAGCTGTTCTCCTGTAGACCAACATGGCCACCCTCTGAAGAAGTAGGGATGGCAGCCTCCAGGTGGGACCTGGGCCGTGCTCCCTCTAAGCCGTGGAGTCCTGTGAGCAAAAATCCCACTTTGTGAGCTGCTGGCATTAAAGTTGCGAGCGAGCGATTTGGCTGCTGCAGAAATCAGTTTGCTCTGGAGCCCATCCTTCCTGAGCTAAGGCAAAAATGTGTGAGCCGGAGGCTAAAAGACTGTGAGCTGGCTCACACTCACTCAGCTGAGAGGGAATGCTGGACCTGGGGATCCCCCAGAATTACAGCTCATCTCCTGACTATGGAGATCAGTTCCCCTGGAGAAAAGGGATGCTTTGGAGGGTGGAGGACGACTCTACGGCATCGTACCCCACTGAGGTCCCCAGGCTCCATCCCCAAATCTCCAGGAACTTCCAGTGTTCCCTCTAAGTGGAGTTAGTGTGAGCTAACTCACAGTTTTTTAGCCTCTGGCTCACACATTTTTGTCTTGGCTCAGGAAGGATGGCTCCAGAGCAAACTAACTTATGCAGTAGCAGGGGTCATTTCGTAGACAAAGAGGTGCAGGAGATCATTAGCATAACTCATTAGCACAACTTATTTGCATATGCCACACCCCCTGACATCACCGGAAGTGTGTCAGAAGGCAACACCCACCGCTCAGGCTCCACTGGACTCTTTTGGATTGCTAGCTATTGGGGGGGGGGCATGTGCAGATCTGTCCTCGCAGAGGAGGGAGAGCTTGTACCGGAATAAAACTTGGTCTTAAAGGTGCCACTGGACTGTTTTGGACCCGGGGGAGCTCTGCAACTTACCTGGCTGCTTCTTGCTCTGACTGAGGGCTGCTGGGAGCAGGGGGCGGGGCTTGTTGCATGTGCCCACCCCCTGGGCTCTTTACTGCCGGAGCTCCGCTCCTGTGCGCTCCTGCAGGAAATGACCCCTGTGCAGTAGCCAAGTCGCTCGCTCACAACTGTAATGCCAGCAGCTCACAAAGCAGAGTCTTTGCTCACAAGACTCCACTGCTTAGAGGGAGCACTCAGCTTCCCAACCCGGAGCTAGCAACTGTACCCCCCCCATCCCCTGCTGGTAGCCAGGAGGGAGCCAGCCACCCTTCTCTGAAGCCACCCTCTGAACGTGACTCCCTTTCCCTGCCGTGGCAAGCCAGGGCCTGCGGGCCACAGCTCAGGGGCGGAGGAATGGTTTTGCACGCCGGGGAGGCCTTCAGCACTTCCATTTAGGAGAGAGGAAAGGCGGCACAAACCTCTCCAAGAGCAGCCGCCCTCCCCATCCAACCATGCGCATACCGTGGTCTTTCTCGCGAGAACGCGGCCTCGGATGGTTTCCGTGGAACTCGAGTTCTGCCGGATCCATGGATACGAGTCGGAGAGGAGAGAGGAAAGGCGGCACAAACCTCTCCGAGAGCAGCCGCCCTCCCCATCCGACCATGCGCGTACCGTGGTCTTTTTCACGGGAACGCGGCCTCGGATGGTTTTCGTGGAACTCGAGTTCTGCCGGATCCATGGATACGAGTCGGAGATCTGTGGGTGGTTCCCTGAGTTTGGGTGCAGGTTTCTGGGATTCCTTCAGGTGGGGTCGCCGCATGGGTCTGAAGCAGCAGAACGAAGTTTTGAGTCCAGCGCGCACCTGCTAAATAAAACTTTGTTGGTCTTAAAGGTGCCGCTGGACTCCAACTTTGTTTTGTCATTCCTGTCTGCAAAACCAGCTTTCCCCTCAAGCTGAGGGGTGTGTGTCTGTGTGTGTTTCCTCCTTCCACCATTGGTGGGCCAAGAAGCAGCCAAGAATGCAGACAAACTCCTTGCAAGGAGCTCGTGCTTGGAGAAAGGCGGGAGCTTGCAAACCGGCCCCTCAGAGTAGGCCGTTTGTCACCCAGGGGTACACCCAGGAAGGAAAGACCTTGACCTGGGGATCCAGGTGGACACAAAACAGCCCATCCCTAGATGATGCTTGATTCTTTCCCAGTTTTTGTCAGTTTCCATTAGCTTCAGGGAGGCTTAGAAAGCAGGAACCGGTCCAAGTGAAGGGGCGATCATCTCTTTGGAATTCCCTTTCAGATTTCTCACCTTCTAAGCCGAATAGAGCAGTCCATCATGCAGCAGGAAGCCAAGCTGAAGCTGGTTTATAAAGAGAGCAACCAACAGCTCCACCTCCTGGACACAAAGTGAGTATCGCCTCTTTTCGATCACCCGGTACTCTGCTCCAGCCGAGGGGCCCCGGCTGCTTTTGCAAATGTGGATATCTGCAGCACTTTCTAATCCTGTGATGCGCCTGGAGTCCCAACGAGACAGGCGGACCATCGGTAAAATAAACGCACACACGAGAATGATTTCGTCTGCAAAATGCAATCGCCTCGGTTTGTGAAATGCGTGCTGTGGCTGCTGTCGCAGGTGACCGAAGGCCAGCCAGTAGGGTTTCCAAGGCAAGAGATGTTCAGAGGCCAGCCAGGGTAGACAATACTGGTCAGCCAGGATTTTGTGGCTTGTGGGGCAAACTTTTTTTCCTGGTGGAGCCATCCAGGTCACGGCAGAAGACATCAGGAGGTGGTTTTGCCCTCGCCTGCCTCTGCGTAGCAGCCCTGGGCTTCCTGGGTGGTCTCCCATCCAGGGACCAACCGGGGCCGACTTTGCTTAGCTTCTGAGATCTGGTGAGACTGAGCGAGCCTGACCATTCCAGGTCAGGGAACACTCTACACTAACAATGTCTGTAACTGGGGATGTCGCGTGCCTCCCCGCGCCAAAAAGAGCCTCCCCTACAGATGCTTAAAGGTAAAGGCTCCCTTGCTCGAAAGCCAGTCGAGTCCGACTCTAGGGTTGCGGTGCTCATCTCCGTTTCCAAGCCAAAGAGCCAGCGCTGTCCAAAGACGTTTCCGTGGTCATGTGGCCGGCATGACTAAACACCAAGGCGTACGGAACGCTGTTACCTTCCCACTGAAGTGGTACCTATTTATCTACTTGCAATGTCTTGCTTTCGAACGGCTAGGTTGGCAGGAGCTGGAACTAGTGATGGGAGCTCACTCCGTCCTGCGGCACCCGGGTCTTGAACTGCTGAACTACCGACCTTCCACAGCCTGCAGTTCAGCGTCTTAACCACTTGTGCCACCGCAGCTCCTACAGATGCTTACTGTCCTGCTAACATCTAACAGGAAGCGTATCGGACTGCTCTGGAGCAATCCCTATTTAACTGGTTTCTAATTATGTACTTATTGTATTCTATTTATGTTGCAAGCCGCCCTGGATATAAGTATAATAAACAAATAAATAGTAGAACAATAGGCAGGAGCTGTGGTGGCTCAGTGATAAAGACACTGAACTGCAGGCTGGAAGGTCAGTAGCTCGGCAGTTCGAGACCCGAGTGCTGCGTGACGGAGTGAGCTCCCGTCTCTGGCCCCAGCTCCTGCCAACCTAGCAATGCGAAAGCAAGAAATTGCAAGTAGATCAATAGGTACCGGTTTGGTAGGAAGGAAACAACGTTCCGTGCACCTCGCTTTAGTCATGCCAGCCATATGACCACGGAGAAGTCTTCGGACAGCGCTGGCTCTTCGGCTTGGAAATGGAGATGAGCACCGCACCGCACGAGTCGGATTCGACTGGCTCTCAAGCAAGGGAAACCTTTACCTAGAACAATATGCATTTGCATCTTTGCAAGAAAACTGAGGTCGCATTAGGAGAATCTGCTGGAGATATATATATATTATTAGTCCACAATGCATTTCATCTCTATCCAAAAACACTGAGACTGTGTTGAAACCTATTTCTGAAGGTGCCGAATTGCTTTTCTCCTTCCCAGACTGCAGGACACCATCGATTACCTCAGCAACCAGATCTCGTCCAATCGGAGCTGGATGGAGCAGGAGCAGGAGCTGATTCAGAAAGAGTTCCGGGAGAAGATCGATCAGCTGTCCTTGGCCGTCAAAGAGAAAAACGTGGGTTTCAGCAGAGGATATCTCCTGGTTTGGGGGAAAGGGGCCCCAGTCAGTGTTCCCTCTGAGCTGAGTTAGTGTGAGCTAGCTCACAGTTTTTTAGTCTCTGGCTCATACATTTTTGTCTTCGCTCAGGAAGGAGGGCTCCAGGGCAAACCAATTTATGCAGGAGAAGAGAAGAACAGATTGGATTTATACCCCACCCTTCACTACCCAAAGGTGTCTCAGGGCGGCTTACCATCTCCTTTCCCTCCCCCTCCCCACAACAGACACCCTGTGAGGTAGGCGGGGCTGAGAGAGCTCTTTTGAGGACTGCTCTTGAGAGAACAGCTCCAAGAGAACTTGTAACTGACCCAACACACCAGCAGCTGCATGTAGAGGAGTGGGGAATCAGACACCGTTCTCCTAGATTAGAGTCCGCGCTCTTAAAGACTACACCAAACTAGCCAAATCGCTCGCTCACAACTTTAATGCCAGCAGCTCACAAAGTAGGAGTTCTGCTCACAAGACTCCACAGCTTCGAGGGAGCATTGGCCCCAATCCACAAAGCACTGCTGCTATGGTTTCCAATCTCCAGGCGGTGGCTGGATATCTGCTATTACAAGGGATCTCCATTCGCCTGGAGGAAATGGCTCTTTTGGAAGGCGGACTCCGTGATAGGGTGGTTTTTAAAAAAGGGGGGGGGGGGGAGAGGACGTATTTCCCCAACTAGCTACTTCAAACAACTGATCGCTATGACCAATCTCATTTTAAAATCATTAGAAATGTCATTTTTAATAACCCAGACTATTTAAGCTGAAGCTTGCCTCCACTGGGGGACTATAGGACAAAATGGGCTCAGCCTCCCAAACCAAAAAGTGTTCATCAGGTTGTTGTTGTTTTTTTAAAAGCCCCCAAAGTGCTCTTTCCTGCATTGTGCAGGGGGTTGGACTAGATGACCCTGGAGGACCCTTCCAACTCTATGATTCTAAGAGGACAGACAGCAAAAAGGACATGTCCTCTAAAAAACAGGACACTTGGTAACCCTGCTCTATGATGTTATACCCTGTTGAAGCCCCTCCTCTCCCCAAACCTAGCCCCCTCAGGCCTCCTCACCCCCCCCCCAAACCCTCAGGTGTTTCCCGACCCAGATTCGGCAGCTCTAGCTGCCGCCCTGTCATACCACACTCGCTCCCTTGGGACAAACAGAGGTCATGGGGGGCAACCGTGTTGGTGGATTTCTTCCACTGCTTTTGAATTTTGCACCCTGTTCCTGAAACGGCACACCCTCGCGCGTTCTGCTGAAGCAATGCAAAGGTCTGGAGTGAAGGAATGGCAGGCCAGTTTGGTGTCGTGGTTAGGAGAGCGGACTCTAATCTGGAAGAACCGGGTTTGATTCCACACTCCTCCACATGCAGCCTGCTGGTGTGACCTTGGGTCAGTTACAAGTTTTCTCAAGGGCAGTTCTCGAGAGAGCTCTCTCAGCCCCACCTACCTAGTCACAGGGTGTCTGTTGTGGGGAGGGAAACGGAAAGGAGATTGTAAGCTGCTCTGAGACTCCTTTGGGTAGTGAAGGGCGGGGTATAAATCCAATCTCTTCTTCTTCTGGCCTGGACCATGGGGAACTGTGGGTCTGAAGGGTGAAACCCCAGTATGCCTAGTTATAGTAACATCTTGGGATCTCCTTCATCTTTTACTTCTGTTAGCTTAACATCATCATCATCATCATCGTATGGCATTGTGTGTAGTATAGCCAGGAGATCCTAAGATTGTCTGGCAGCCAGAAGTTCTCGCTCTTTTTTTAGCATTATGCACCACTAGGTGACGAGCTAGACTTGTTTTTTAAGGCAAGAGAACTTTCAGAAGTGGTTTGCCATTGCTTTCCTCTGCGTCACAACCCTGGTATTCCTTGGAGGTCACCCATCGAAATACTAGCCCGGGCCGACCCTGCCTAGCTTCTGTGATCTGACAAGATCATGCTAGCCTGGGCTATCTGGGTTACGTATTGTTAGCTTAACAAAAAATATTAGAAACATTTAGACAATTATATTCCAGGCTTTTTTCCAAAAAAATGCTTTAATCAAAACATTCTTGATTTTCGTGGCATTTGTGTCATGGCAGATTGATCACAGTGACCTCAGATTGTCTGGAGGGGCCGATGTTCTTCTGGAGTCGGGATTCCACTTGCGGATCCGGCCTGTGTCTCACATAGTTCCCTCTCTTCATCACAGTCAAGTTTGGCTGCCTCTGGCCAGCTAGCGCCTCCGGGTTCACAGGGAATGCTGCATGAGCAACACGGAGAATTGTTTACACAGAACACGGCCTTTCCCGGTCCCAGACAATGAATCTGCATGTGCCTTTATTGATTTCTATCCCATTTTTCTTCGAGAGATCCTTCTCTCCTCTTCCATTCTCTCACAACACCAACCCTGCGAGGTAGTCCCATCTGAGAGATTGTGACAGACCCCAGGTCGCCTAGAGCACTTCCATGGTGGGAGCAGGGCTTCAAGCCCAGGTTCCAGGGCCCTCGTTCGTCACCACACCGGTTCTCCGCTTCTGCCTCCGGGGTGACTCAGAATAACAGTTAAGCCCGGGCCCGCTTGTCTGACTGCTGTTCTCCTGCTGTTTGCTTCAAGGAACAAGACGAGAGAGCCCTGGAGCTGCGGTTTTTTCAGCGAGATCCACGGGAAAAAGGATAAAGTGGAAGAGGTACAAAAAATGGCAGTGGAAGAACCAGCGGCGAAGCAGGCAGAGGAACGGCTCAACATGCAGCTGAGCAAACTCCAGGTGGATGTCAGTGAGGATATAAAAGAAGTGAAGGCGGAAGTGAACGCAGGTGAGCAGTGAATGCTGGTGTGACCTTGGGCCAGTCACAGTTCTCTCGGAGCTGTTCTCTCAGGAGCAGTTCTTGAAAGAGCTCTCTCAGCTCCCCCTACCTCACAGGGTCTGTTGTGGGGAGGGGAAGGGAAAGGAGACTGTAAGCCGCTCTGAGACTCCTTTGGGTAGTGAATGGCAGGGTATAAATCCAATCTCCTCCTCCTCTTCTTCTTCATGTATTTATTTATCTAATTCAATTTGTACCCCGCCCTACCTGCCAAAGCAGGCTCAGGGCGGCTTACATAAAAATACACATATAAACAGGGCTTTTTTTGTAGAAAAAGTCCAGCAGGAACTCATTAGCATAATAGGCCACACCCAGCAGCAGAAACTCATTAGCATATTAGGCCACACCCCTGACTGCACCACTCATTAGCACATTAGGCCACACACCCCTGTTACCAGAAGTGTGGTCATCCAGCCACACCCACCTTTTGCTTCTTATTCTGTTTACCTTGTTTGTTGTCAAAACCCAGGGCTTTTTTTTGTAGCAGGAACTCCTTTGCATGTTAGGCCACACACCCCTAATGTAGCCAATCCTAATGAGTTTCTGCTGTTGGGTGTGGCCTATTTGCTAATGAGTTCCTGCTGGGTGTGGCCAACTTGGGAGCCAGCCGGAACTCCGTACCTGTGCGCTCCTGCCCAACAATAGCTCTGCATAAATCTACAATTAAAATCCTCCTCCTCCTCCTCCTCCGTCTTCTTCCCCAAATTCCTTCCCCAATGTTTTATGTGTGCCGCCTTGGGGACCCTGATCCGGTGGAGAGGCAGCGTAAAAATATTTTAAACAAATAATTTCACACACAGTAAACCGAATTCCAGAAAACGCTTGACACTGAATCCCAAAAAGCGTTCTGAAAGTTCGTTTCCATTCTCCCCGGGTTTCTAGGGTTTGCCGCCATCTATGAGAGCATCGGATCCTTGCGGCAGGTTCTCGAGGCGAAAATGAAGCTGGACAAGGAAGAGCTACAGAAGCAAATCCAGCAGGTCAAGTAAGTGGCTGGGCGGCCGATCCCTGTTTCCAAGACAGGATCTCAGCAGACGGAGCCGCCGGATGCAGGTGAAGCTGGAGTCCGCCTCCAGGTTAGGTGTCCGTTTCATATCCGGACCCAGTGACGTGCCTCCGTCGCATGGACCTGTACAATTCCTGTAGATAGTCCAACCGAGGCTTTGCCGGTGAGACTCACCCCTTTCCCCCCGGAAGACCTGTGGGAACCACGGCCATATGACTCTGGTTTGAAGCGCCGTTGACTTCAGAAGCATTACCTCAGATGACGCAGGCCACGGGTTTGTGGGGGGGCCTTGAAACACTGTGGGCTGCGCGTGTGGGAAAAGGCACAACCGGCTACACCGGGGCCCCCCAACCATTTTGAGCCTGCAGGCACCTTAGGAATTCTGATACGGTGCAGTGGGTGGAGCCACAAAAGGGCTGCCGCAGCTGACCTTCGTTCACACAGTGAAGATCTTTGTGCTGTTGTGGCAGCTGCCGCCAAAGCAACAGATTTAAACATTTGCACAGCCTGTCAAATCTCCAGTGGCCAATCAGAAGCCTAGCGGGGCACTGTTAAAACAAAATTCCAAATTTGGGTCGGTTGGGTCCCGTTTGCCGCAACTGAGATTAGGGCTGCTAGTTCTGAGTTGGGAAACACTTGGAGGTTTTGGGGGTGGAGCCTGAGGAGGAGGGCAGGGTTTGGGGAGAGGCGGGACTTCGGTGAGGCCTAATGCCATAGATTCTACCTTTCAACCCAGCCGTTATCTCCAGGTTAATTCATCTCTGTTGCCTGGAGATCTCCAGCCACCACCTGGAGGTTGAGTACCAAAAACAACATCCGTGACAAAAATGACAGAGAGTCAATAAAGATACGTTGCAAAAACGTTTACTGTAGTAATTCTGTAGAAAATTCTCTTCTACAATCGCTCACACGCTAACGAATGCTGCGCAATGTAAACAAATTCGTTTCACAATATTTGCTTTATCGGAGCGGGTAGCAATCCCAATTCTTATCAATCATCACTCATCAACTCTTGAAGGAAACATTCCATGTTGACTCTCTAAGAACGGAACCCAAGGCCTTTATTGACTCTTCGTTATTTTTGTCACGGATGTTGTTTTTGGTATTCCACTTCCTCCCGTGATCTCTCATTTTTGGCTTCTACCACCTGGAAGCTGGCAGCCCTGACTGAGAGGGAACCCGTTTAAATGTGTACTCTTCGCCCTGACCTGGATAGCCCAGGCTATCCTGTCAGATCTCAGAAGCTAAGCAGGGTCGGCCCTGGCAAGTGCTTGGGTGGGAGACCCCCAAGGAATACCAGGGTCGTGAGTCAGGGGCAGGCAATGGCAAACCAACTCTGGAACGTCACTTGCCTTAAAAAACCCCCACAAGTCTAGCTCACCACCTAGTGGTGCATAACGCTAACAGAGCTGGAACCTCCGGCTGCCAGGCAATCTTAGGGTCTCCTGGCTTTCCCGCACACACTGCCATACAATACTGCCCTGGCTAGTATTTGGAGAGGCGACCTCCAAGGAATACCAGGGTTGTGACACAGAGGCAGGCGTCTCTTGCCTTAAAAACAAGTCTAGTTGGCCACCTACTGGTGCATAACACTAAAAGAGTTAGAAGTTCCGGCTGCCAGGCAATCTTAGGGTCTCCTAGCTTTTCCACACACACTGCCATACAATACTTCCCTGGCAAGTACTTGGGTGGGAGACCTCCAAGGAATACTGGGGCAGTGACCCAGAGGCATGGGAATGCCTCCAAACCCCACTAGGGGTCGCCAGGCGTCAGCTTGACCTGATGGCCAAAAAAAGAATACAGAAAAAAAGTTTTTAAAAATGTGTACTCCTCAACAAAGTTAGTCTCTGCAGCGGCATGAAAGGGTGCTCATTTGACTCTCGCCGAAATCAACGGCCGAACTCTGTTGCTTGCCGGGATGTGTCCAGCCCAGACCTCTGCAGAGCGGCAGACCCTCCCTCCTCTGGGCATGCCGTCAGTCCTTTGGTTTGTCTCTGCAGGGACGGGCTCTTTTCTCAGAGTGGCAACAGTCACCCAGCTGACTCCAGAGGAAATTAGCAAAAGGGATTGACTCACCAGGGAAGCACCGGGCCTCGGAAGCAGGTGGAGGCGTGAGGGCTGGAGTCCTCTCCCAGCAGCAGATCCGCTTGCTCCCCGTTCTGCCGCTGACCCGGAAGTAATCCCTCTGCTGCCCTTTGCATGCGTGCCTTTCACAGACTCAGGCGAAGGCGGTGTCTGAGTAGGCCTCCTGCCGGTGCCCCTAAAGAAACCTGCTGGCAGGGACTCCGCCATAGCGGAGGAGGGTACCCACGCTGTTCGTTCTCACCTACATCAGTACCTGCTGGCAGTGGTTAAGAGCAGCAGACTCTAATCTGGGAGAACTGGGTTTGATTCCCCACTCCTCCTCCATATGCGGATAGCTGGGTGGCCTTGGGTCAGTCACAAGTTCTTTCAGAGCTGTTCTCTCAAGGGCAGTTCTCTCAGAGCTCTCTCAGCCCCACCAACCTCACAGGGGGTGTCTGTGGCGGGGAGGGGAAGGGAGAGGAGATTGTAAGCCGCTCTGAGACTCCATCGGGTAGTGAAGGGCAGGGCAGAAATCCAACTCCTTCTCCTCCTCTTGGTTTGTTCTCTGAAGGAAGGGTTGACTGCTTGCTACAGAGCGAAGTGTTTCCTCTGCAGACGTAGTCTCTCACCTAGGCAGGGTTGCCAATCTCCAGATGGGGATCACCTTGAGTTACCACTGATCTCCAGACGCCAGAAATCAGCTCCACCTGGAGGAAATGGCTACTTTGGAGGGGGGACTCTGTGGCATCATACCCCCACTGACCTCCTGCTCCTAAATCTCCAGGGATCTCCCATCCTGGAGCTGGCAACCCTGCCTGGGAAGGGGCCACGTGGCTCAGGGGATGGGCCTCTGCTTGGCATGTGGAAAGTCCCAGGCTCAGTCCCCAACATCTCCAGTTCAAAAAGGACCAGGCAGTAGGTGATGGGAAAGACCTCCGCCTGAGACCCTGGAGAGCTGTAAAGAGGGGCTGTGGCTCAGTGGCAGAGCCTCTGCTTGGCACCCAGGTTCAGTCCCCGGCATCTCCAGTTAAAGAGACCAGGCAGAATTTCCCAGCAATGCTCCCTCTAAGCTGTGGACTCTTGTGAGCAAAAATTTGACTTTGTGAGCTACTGGGCATTAAAGTTGTGAGCGAGCCATTTGGCTACTGCACAAATTAGTCTGCTCTGGAGCCGTCCTTCCTGAGCTGAGACAGGAATACATCAGCTGGAAGCTAAAAAAACTGTGAGCTAGCTCACACTAACTCAGCTTAGAGGGAACACAGCTTTCCCACATATTGCCACGAAATGCTCCAGTTGGATGAAAATATTCTTACAAAAGTCCCTATCAAAAGAAAGAGGCAACTGTTCCACTGTCCCAAACGTGCACCGTCTCAGGTACTCCTCAAGCCCTCCCCTGATCTCAGGCTTCTCCCCCCCCAAGAGTTCCCACACCAACAGACCCCCAGAACGAACCATGGCATGTGGGCAACCGTGTTGATCTGAAGCAACAGAACAAAGTTTGATTCCAGCGGCACCTTTCAGACCCACAAAGCTTAATCCTGGGTGTCAACTTCCATGCGCACGCACACCCTCTTCATCTATGGATACCCACCGTCCACGGGGGAACCTGATTTCTAGGCCGGTCAGCGTTTCAGAGGTAAGAACCAGCTCTTGACGTTGGTTTATTTTATAAGCAGATGCTTCGCTCTTTCCCACTGAAGCCAACAGGACTTACAAGCGCATTACTTTGTACCTGAGTATTTCTACAGTATCCCCTTTTTTGCACTGCCTCCGACTGGGGCGGCAAGTGGCGATGTACAGATGTTTTCACAAGCTGTCGTCTTGACAGAACGATGCCCTTTCCCCCATTGCACAAATCTCTTTCTCTCTGTGTGTGTGCGTGATCCAGATAGGATTCTGTTTCCTAATGTTCTGTGTCACTGGATATTTAATCCAGTCAAGACCCATTGAAATCAATGAACGTAAACGGCCAGTATGTCCGAAGGCTTGTGCTGAAACAAAATGCGGGAAGTACTCTGCCCTGTTGTCTTAAAAAGGCGTCTGCCTGCACCCGTCTTCCCTCCTTTGGGCGAGTGAGTGCAAAGATACTGATAGATACTTGGGCGCTAGACCTTAGGTTTATCATTTCATTCGGATTTTATTTCATTTGTTATTCTCCAGTGTTGAACTGTTTGCCCTCACAGCTCCCCTCCCATATGCAAGGTCCTGCTGCTGGCCCTGGGTCGCGTCGCGTTCCTGCTCAGGAGCAAGTGGAGGTTCCCCACTAATGCCTGGCGGAGGCACACTTGGTCAGTGCGGTGCGGACTCTGTGGGTTTGGCCACCCATTGGACAGAGAATGGCCAGGTAGAATCCACCTCTTTCCCCACAGTCTTGAAAAGCACCACGATCTGCTCCATCGTTTGCTGTCCTTATGGCTTCCCCAGGGGTACTTTGGTTTAGTCCGCATTGACCCAGATGGGTACCTCTGACTTCCACGATGCTTTCACGCGCCCAGAATAACGCGCTTTCGGTGCACTTTGCAACTGCATTTCGCTGTGTGAAACGGCAAACTCCACTTGCAAACGATTGCTGGAGTGCATTGAAAGTGGACTGGAAGTGCATTGTCCAGGATGCGTGGAACTGCAGCGGCGATTTCAGGAGACTTGAGGAGGCTTCTCTCGGCCTCTCTTCCCATTGCCATAACCCCCGGCCCCTAATTTGCTGGCTGCGATTCATAGCTGGAGACGCGCACTCTTCCACTGGGATTTAATCCTGCTTCCCCCCCACCCCTCCACCCCCCAGCACCCACAAAACGATTCCAGGGGGAGCCCAGGAAAGGGGCAGCAGGTAAGCGCAAACCCCACCCCTTCACACACACACAACCCTCACAGACCTCACCCCCCCTCAGGGACGCTGCTGATTCCTTTGTGCCCCCGTTC